TTTATAACTCATCGTTCTTATAAAACCCTTCGACGAAAATATTATTACGTTCACACGAACGTATTATTAGGCTCTGTGGAATATTGACTTATCGATAGATTTTTCCCATGATGTTATATATAATATGGAGTTCAAGTTTTATGTACGGCAATGCAAACTGAACTATCGAAATAAACAAATAAAATTTAAATTATGAGTCAAAGGTTTCCAAAGAGAACAATTCTGCGTCTAAGGTTTATAAATAAAACATTTATCCACGTGAACGTGGTGCGTTCTCTGCTTTGAAAAACACGCTTTATAAACACGTTTTATACGCTTTTGTGGGAAAGGAATACTTTTAATTTGCAAGGAAGGTAGGTAATTTGAAAAGATGCCTTGGATATGTTAGTCGTTTATACTTACAAAAAATTCTCGTAGTGCAATGAGTTAAGACGTACACGGTTTAGAAATAGATTAAATAGCCATCGCCCTGAAACACACAAAATGCATTAACAGGTTTAACGTAGTTGCAGTTAGTGTTTGGAAATGCACTTGTACGCAACCTACAGACGCGGTTTCACCATTTAGGCTGCCAACAAAAGTTCGAAACGGCACGGTGTTTGAACAGGGATTCGATACAGGATTAACGTTTCATTTGGAAAGAATTTGCATTTTATAATAATATCCTCCACGAAACATTTTAGAAGTAATTAGCTTTTCGCTCCGATGAATCTAGATGCTTCAACGATATTTATTACAATACCTGTAATAAATTTCGTCTGTTTGGTATCGGAACAAATCAATAATTGCAAGAAATCGAAGGTTGCGCGTGATGCAATAGTCGCGCAATTAGTTCTGGCACGTAGGAAAAAATGCATTAAAGAAAGACGCTGGGTGGAGGTGTACGTGTGGGACTGTGGCACAGAGTTGTTCGCAAAACTCGAACAATGCTCCTTCCCGTGTCATTCATTTCATTGATTGCAACAAGGTTGTCCGTATTCCTGTCTCGCTATCCTTTTCAATTTCACCTCATTTTTCTTTCCTTTTTTCTTTGGCGTCGACGCATCTCGAAATAGACTTCTCCAACGAAAACGGCAGTCCTGTTTTAATTACGTAATGATGTCAAAAATACTTTTTCTTACGACTCTATCGTTCCAGTGTACACACTTTTCCTAAGCGAGCGTCGTGCGGTTTTTTCTGTGAATCTGACAAGATGTACCTTGACCTTCTTTGCGCGAGCAAGGACGACTTCGTCGTAAAGCCTAGAGAAAAGCGGTAAACCGCTTGCCCCGAGCTCGAGATATGATAGAAAGCATTACCGTGGAATTCTAAACGGACGTGGACTATTTATTAGCGAAGAAATTTCACGAGTACACTCCGCGACAAAATTATAGACACTTATATGTTAATTGCATTTCGGAGTGGTCATTTTCTTTATTTAGGAGAATATTGTTCGGAATAAAAGAACGTGGTTGCCCTTTCCTTCCATTTTGCGCTATTTTTCGTAGATTTCTAATGGTATTTTAATTTTTGTTTCCAGTTTAATAGTTCTATCTTTACCATTTAAATAAAAGTTAGAATGAACTCTGCGGTTCAATTCTTTTTGGAACTACAAGCTATTGCGTCTTGAAAATGAATTTGAGTCAATACTTTTGGTGAATTCTGTACTAATAACACGATACTACCACGAAATTATAGACACGTTCCGATGAACGACACTATGAAGGTATGCAAGGTCGGAATTCACGCAATGCGGCTCGGGAATTTCTTAGTGGTACTTATCCGTCGATTGCTTATCTTCGTCTGTCTTTTAAATAATCACATGGCTATTGGGAAATCCTCGCCTTGGGCAGCCACTGTATTGCCGATCGATGAATTCCCACACGTTTTTCCATCTTACTCTCAGGATGTATCTGTTTTCATGTCTAATTACATGCGTCGGTGAACACTATGCGATCTTCATTCAATCGCGTGCGATTACATTTTCATAAACTGTATTTCACAAAATATTCCGTGGACAAAATTTTGCAGGGTCTTTTCACGATCTTATACTGCGAGTATTTATTGAGTAGCATCCTCCTAATTCTCGAATTTGGCTTCAATGCATCTAGGTCAGCGATTTCCAAACTTCGCAAGCTCTTCGAAGACGAAGTATACTGTATCGTGAAATATGAAAAACGCTTCTTATAATATTTTATTATTCCCGAGGAAGACTTCTAAATTGCAGGAAAGAATCGTCATTTTGATTGCATCATTTCATGAACAAAAATTTTCGTTTCAAGTAAATCACTATTTTAATTGAATGAATATGATTAAGGCTCGAACATTAATTTCCCTTAAATTACTTTAAGTTCCACTTGATTACAATTTTACCAATAACACAATTACTATCCATTTAAACAAATATAAAAACCATATCACCGGTCACCGTGGCTCGAACGAGTTGTAATAAAAACAATGAAAAGTCGAAATTGCTATTTCGTCGTTCCGTCGATCTTGCTCGGAAACATTTTTATTTCCGAATGCGCGATGAAAAGTAAATATTGAAGTTTCGTTAGACAGGCCGGCAAGTTTTTCAAAATCGCGCGAATTTGAAATAACACGGCATCGCATGCGTTTGCGAGTTATTTCGCGACGGTGAATGTCAAAATGCTTGTTAGCCATGACGATGCTTTCGCGAGAACGCATGCAGCGCGATTATGTTAGACTGCAGCGGGACGTGCACGTGCGTCAGACGTTTTGAACTCGTCTTCCATTATGAGTAATTTCGAAATTTCCTTTAACAAACATCCAGGAAGTTTCGAGCGTTTCCCCGTGGCGTTATTAGACTTTGCGAAATTTGAACGCGTGCAGCGCAAAACGGACAACGTTACGAGTTATTAAAAGTGGAAGGTTGTGCAACGACACGTTCGAGATATCTTTAAGAAGCAGATTAATTGGGTTTTAATGAAAAGCGTCCGCGTTGATTGTTCGATGAAAACTTGACTTCCATGTGATGAAATACGTACCCACTTACGTCGAGTTGCGGTTACGTTCTTTGTACAAACCCGAAGATAATTGCAATCTTGATGCGAGAGATTAACCAAAGGAACATCGCTCGTTAAAAAGTCGTCCGGTATGCTCGAGCAATTCAATTCACTGGCGAGCCTTACATCACACGTGTCGACGGGTTATTTTGTGTAAATTGGTGCACAGGTTACTCGAACCGTGTTGCTATTAGAATTGTACAACGTGTTCTGTACGATCCAGTGATTCTTCTGTGCCCTAAGAATAATGTTTGCATTCGTGCGTGAAGCGTTCATCGTAATTATGATGTATATCGAACGCTTCCACGGTGAGTAAGGTGTAATTATTAGTTTTGTACAGGTTACAAAAATACGTGAATAATCTAGGCAAACATCGTAACAAATTAAAAACAAAAAATATGTATCTACAATGTATGAGTGATTAACGAACATGACTTTGCCTCTATACTTGTTGACTTGGAAATAAGTCGACTAATTACCAGCTGAAAATAGATAAGCAAAGGAAAAAAGATTTAATGATGAATATTGAATAACACAAGGTTTAATTTAATTTTGATTTTATCGATAGAATTTATTTCTCTTTAAGACTTCTTTAAAATATTTTTTACAATGTTTAGAAAAGCAAAAATTTACAAGAGGTATCATGGGCTGATTTTTCTCGCAGACTAATCAGACTTTGAGATGAGAATATAAAACTTAAACGTAAAGACATACACACGTTCGAAAAATATACATTTTTTAATAGTCCAAACGTGAGAGATTCATAGGACGTAGTAAAGTAGCAAGAGTACGTCTGCTATAAACGCAATTGCTCCTCAAATGAAGTGCATAAATTATAAATAGTACATTAAAGTTTTTGAACCGTAAAAGTGCACTTAATTTTAGTACTCATCGACGCTTATTTCGAGATGGTAACCGCGATTCATATTTTTATACTTCCACTACTCTCGTCGAATCGTAGAAAATGATGGGCCCCGATCGAAATACATTCAGCTATTTCGATTCAGCGGAGGTTCCTGAACCTTTAACCTGGACCGAAATAGGAAAATCGAATCATCAACTTGCATATCGAATTTGCTCTGATTTCGGGACAGCCAAACACGGGGCTTTACTCATTTAGAAGGATATTGGTATGGCCAACGATCGTTGGGTTACATTTTTAGTTGGACGTTGTTTTAGATTCAATAGTATTTTATTGAACTTTAACCTATCGATTTAATGGAGTATTTATAATGAAATACGCTAACTAAGATTTCTTGTTTCCTTTAAATGTACAGTTAACAATTCTTAATATCTATTACAACTGAGCACAAGGGCACGTTTCCCCACACTTTGAGAAATTAAAGCGTAAGTTCCATCTAAGGAACCATAAATATAGGCGTAAACATATTTTTCAACTTTTTCTACTCGTGCCATCCTTACTTTATAAGACTCACATACATGTCCATACGATCAATAACTTCCGTAACACGTAATGAATAAAAATCGAAGAACCGCACGACTATAGTTAACACTTCTGACTAGAGAGTCGTTAATTCTAATACTTTCAGGAGTATGTACGTTACTATACTAATGCCGAAGTCCTACGTTACTATCTACTTACTAGATACTAGATTCTAGTACTACGCTTACGTTACTACCTATGGCCACGTTGCATTTCTTGTCCGGATGTTCTTTTTTCATTCATTACGTTACACACGGTTATTCAAACAGTTCTGCAAACTTATACCTAGAACTACCATATTGATCGTAGATTCAACTTGAACTTCTATTGAAAATTATTCGAATATTAAGAATACTTCTACCGCAATTTTTGGTGACGATTATTAAAATAGGAGAGCGATTGTATTGGTGTATTGATTTACCCTTCTTCCTTGCTCCAATTCAAACATGTAGTAGTCTGTACATGTTGACCTCCGTAGTTCTAGTCTGTTTTAAATATTTTCGCGTTTCATGTCTAGATAACGTCGATGCAATCGTTGAATCTAGATGAAACGCGATTTTATCCGAATATACAAACGATAACAATATCATTGCGCTATACGCGGTGACGCGTTAAAGTCAACGATCGATATTGCGCACAGAAAGAACTGCAAGAGAGACAAGTGTCAGCAGGTAATACCAAGTGTTGCCCAGGGCTAGATTCGTCGCCGAGGAGCAAATATACTCTCTTCCTCTAAGGCGTTTCTTCTTCGACTCCTCCAATGTCTGACCAGGTTGGCAATAATATTCATCGTCGTTCGGCCTCACGCTGGCCACGATACTGAGGAACTCTTCAAAAGGACAAAGTTCCGTGCAACCAGGAATCGTTTCGATCTTCAGCTGCTCGGATACTCCGCTCCAATATAAAACCTGACATGAAAGTATAAATGAATACACGCTTCAAAGGGTCGTATCAGAGATGGGATCAAACTTCATCTAAATAAAAATCTCGAGTATGAAATAAAAGATAGGTGAATCGCATCTGTTGTACTTTGAATAAAGATAAGTTGGGGGATCGAACCCTTTGAAAAAGGGCTAAAGATATGGTATCTTTGTTTCTGTCATTCCCGAGTTATGAGGGTAGAAAAAGCAGTTCGTAAACAAGTGAAAAAGAAAGATTACTGAAAGGTGTTAAAGCTAATAGAGAATAATCTTAGAGGTGAGCTGTACTCTCCACTATTGCAAAAGTTCTTTTCGAGTACACAATTGTATATTATTTTGGCAAATAGATGAGTGCTTTTTTGTTTGAATATATACCCGAACGTAATAACTGCCTTTCTTATCGCGGAGAGTTTCCAAGATTATAGTGGACCCGTATGCAGGTACAACAGGCTCATCCAAGTCCAAAGCTCTCGCGACAGCGGCAACGTTCATTTCGTGACCCGCGAAGAGGAACGCTTTTCTATCGTATGGCATTAGTTTTCCCGCTTTGTATGCCTCGATGTCGTCCACCATTTTACGTAACAGCACCCCTGCGAAATAGCGGAATGTTATAGGATATTCATCATGTCGCTCACTAATGATGCGAAGTGTAGTTTGTAAAAAACAAATAGCTTTGTACCTCCGTTCAAACGTTTCAACGTTCTCGTGTACGATCTGAGTTTGAAATCCAAAGCGAGTAATTCTTTCATAGGCGTGGGATAGACGGACTCCGTCCATTTTGGAAGAGTCAAATTCTGGGCGGCCTAAAATTCGTATTATTTCATTGTAGAGTGCCACGTGAAAATTGGCAGTTTTATAGTAAACACAAGTGTCTTCACCTCTTCTTTGAACAAGTTGTATAGATAAGTCACCGCAGCTGTCGTGTTTATTACTTTCCCACTGTGCTGGGTTAAGTAAGTAAATACTTTTTTGTACTTGGACATTAAATCCAGTGCGATCGGCTGTCGAAGGAACCTCTTATATTCTTCCACATACCTGAAAGCGGAGAAGGTAGCTTCGTTTATATTTCTGTCTATAGGGATGGGAGGAATAATGTTCGTACTTCGACGATTCGAAGAATAATGAAGCAAAAATAAAACGAGGATCCATACGTTAACGTTAACAAGGAAAAGTGAATCCGAAAATATCGTGGGGAATCGTGATTTTTTTCCTCGTTAATGATGATTCATTTTTCTCTCTTTACTACCTTTAACGTATTTAATGTCGAGGAGAAACATTCATTCAGTCAACGTTCAAAATGCTTCACGACCGCTATGGGTTTCCCCATTATAAATAATTAATGTTTTATTTCTTCTATCGCGTCTTCCTAAGATATAGTCAGTAACGAAAGTTCCGTTTAGTTTTTTTAGAGTGCTTTTAAAATTCTTTCGTACCGTACGTCAAGGTCGTACTACAAGGAAACTGGTTTCTACAAAATGCTCAATATCCTTGCTGTATCTCGAACTGTGAATCATGGGTTATTTTCAATTCTTATGAAATTATCATTCTCATCAATCTTAATTGATTGTTCGTTATTATATCGTTTCGTTCTTTATTTTTCGTTTCTATCGATGTTCTCAAACTTTTTAAATTATTTCGGAACATTCATTTGCTTTTGTATTTTCGTTGTTCGGTAAACAGATTATGATTGAATATCGAAAAACGAATATTACGCTGTTGCATTCAAATAAACCAGACGACTTCGAATGTAAATCAGAGCACACCAATGCAAACATCTGCGATTCCATACGCTCATGGAAATCAGCTCTTTAAGCAACGTTTCAAGACGATGCTTCTAGAAACCCGACATGAGCAAAATATTATTCGAACGACAGATAAAACATAAAAATACAGTCTAGTGATTTATTTGCGACGTTTATTTGATTGAACAAATTTCTGTGCGTTCAACGTGGAGTCCAATTTGATTCTGCTCCAATTTTTATCTAACGAGTGGCAGACGAAAAGTTATTTAATTTTTTGTCCGTTATTCGACATTTTTATGCCAGAAATATGTCGAGGGCATCGTAGTGCAACAGCGTATTCACAAAAATTGCAGTTCAAACATTTTTTAGTATTTAATTCACAATTCTATTATTTCTTCTCAACGCCATTAAAAAGTAAATGTGCTACTGCAAACCTACTGATAGCGTAACACTAACATCGAATTAGAAAAGTGTTTATAACGGATGTAAAAATTGTTCATACGCCCTTCTAGCACGTGCTCTAGATATACATTCTCAGAATACAAACGAATTTTTCACTGAATGTAACATATTTATTTTGGACGGCAACTATGTTTTATCACGTTTTTCACGAGTGTCTCGCATTGTTGCGAAACACGAACGAGAACACTAAAACATTTACCTGGGACAGTGATGCGGGAACATGAGATTGTCAGCTTCGTGGGGTACGAAGAACGTCGCCGTTGGAATCCACGGTAGATGAGGATTCCAAGTTTGCTTCTCGGAGGGCGGGAATAATCCGGCCAAAACTAGCTGGAGAGACAACTGAGTCCTCGAAACTTCCGTTGATTGAGCATAGATCTTCTCTGGCCAATAATCCGGCCCGAAATACCGATCGTAACGTTCACGGAGCATTGTGCCGATCCTGTATTCACGCAGCTTACCTTGCTGCATGAAACAATTACCATTTATGTTTGTCGATGCGTATCATTAATCACTTCGTAATGGCTTCGCGGTGATGAGTGAAGCACAATTATGATCATGATATCTTTGGTGGCGTCTTATGCGCGCACAATTGACGTTTGGAAGGAGTGTTAATTCTACTTTTAAATTATAGAAAATTCTGAATTCGTCAGGTTGAAGAAGAGAATTCCTCGAAAGATATCGACAGAATGTATGAAACTCAGAGTCACATTCTCACAGAGGCTACTATGTTAAATCGAAGTTTTGAAAATTCAACATTTTTTAATTTAAAGTTAACATAGTTTGTCTCAGAGGACAGAGTTACATTAATTTCATGTCTGGTTATGCTAATCTGTCGAATACAATTGCACTGGGGTAAATAAAAAAAGGAGTTCAAACTAGATTATTAAGCCTCGATTCCTATCGCACTATCTCTTCACTATACCGAAAGAAGCATTTCAAAAACAAAGTTTTTACTCACGTTGGTCAAGTCTCCATCGCCCATTGGGTGGTACGAATAGTCCTTGTAGGGATCGTTGGGATAATTCTGATATTCCTTCTGTGGCACTTTCTCACCATGTCGAAATACCTTTAAAAACACATTGAACCATTATTTTCGCCATTAGGATTCACCAGCGATAATTCTCGAACAATCACTGATTATTTTCCGCTTCGGCAACATTTCGAATTATTTTTCACTTCGTCGTCGCGACCTGGTCGGAGGTAGTTACGTTCGTACGGTTCGAAAATAATTTTCGCCGCGAGAAGAATCAGAAAAACTGTTTACCACATGCAACATTTGCAAATCCAGATCACAGTTGACCACGGTGACGAACGCGAGGGCGAGAATCGCCATCGATCGTTGGGGTAACATTTTGTTTTTGTATTTTTTATTGAAGTCGACACTGATTCGACGATGAAGCGATGCAGGACGAGACGGTTACGTCTGGAATGCACAATTTCTCTCCACGATCTACGAAGAAGTATATATTCTTGGCGGTGCTTATCTAAAACAACTCGTCGAGTGGGGGTGGATAAGGAACACCGGCGAACAGGTTTGCAGTTCTCTCGATTTTTATCGTCGGTTCCCCGTTTTTGCTCGTTACGTTGATCCTTTTCCCGCTACGGAGTCGCGATCGTGGTGTTCCTCGAAGGCCACGTACTCAAAGAATGGGAAATCTGGCGGAGCTTGTCCCCTCGGTCTGGGTGCTGCGGTTCAACTTCATATCCTCGGGAATCCCGTGTTTCGTCGTTAAACAAAGATTACCGTGGATTGCCTTGAAGATACTCTTCATCGGATGCGTGGTCCGCGCAGTCGAATTTCGCCTGATCGTCCGTCGCGAGTTTCTTGATTCGTCGTCCGAAATTAAACGAACGCGGAGAAAGTCGAAAGCGACCTTGTTTTAAATTATACAATCTGTTATGATAAAATGATGCCTGAAAAATGATTTCTTCTCGTCAACGATACCGATACCAATAATATTTCAGGAGCAGTATTACTTCAACCTCTTTATTTCAGGATTATTGTGTGGTCAAACATTCTGCGCTGAAAATTGCTACGTAAAAAATGTGGGGAAGTCATCGACGATTCTCACGATGAGATACTCAATCGGAGACTCAATGCGACTGCTTACAATATACGCAATTAAAGTACATATCGAACAAAGATTGATGGGATGATTGAAAAATTTACATCGATCTGTAGTTCAGCTTGTTAGTATAATAACACGTTTTGTACAAGGCAATAGATATTCATGAAAGGGGGGACATTTATTTAATCAAAGTTCATCTGTAAACAACCATAATCGAAGATTACGAAACATTTTTCTGCTTACTCGGGTATACTCTTCCTGGGAACTTGATGTTCGGTGGGAAATTCTTTCCTAACCGCTCTTTCCTGAGTTTCTACGAATTTTAGTTTAGTTTCCGGAATAGTAATGTCCTACGTAAACGACATTGCGTAGAATTGATAAGGAATGTCAGTAAATGACTTGAATCCTTTCCACTGTCTAACTCAGGTTCTGATTCATCGTTGACGTTTGGATCTCGAGGGTGGTTACGTCACGTGTCTATGAACGTGAAGATAATTAACTGTAATTTAACAAAAATGTAGATAGTAGTCATCGAGTGAATACAGAGAATATTGCGATTATGATCAGGTAACTCTCAAACTTATTAGAAGTCATAGCGACCTTCCTCTTATTCCACTTTAAAGTATTGTTATTGTTCGTCTAGGTTCCTTATTTAATCAAAATTGGAACAAACTGCGACTAAATATCTGTAGCCTACACGCGTTCCAGTTTCGTAAGTTTTCAATTGTAAGCGCGTATACTCGTAGCGTTTATCAAGGATACGTTAGCTCGATCGTTATCAGTAACCTTTATTTGATTGCGACATTAGCATTACATTGTGGTGCAATGACCAATCGCCTTGTAATATTTACTGTGTTTCACATGAATGCGATTAGGAGTACAAATTGATCCCGGAACTTTGTGTCGCGCATTCCGTTTCATTGTGGTTTTTCATTGTACGCAGGCATAGGATCGATCGAGTCATTGAACCACGAAAGCAACTGCTTGGATATTTATTTATCAGCGGCTTGCGATCTGTGTGGAAGAACGATTACTCTTTAAATAGATGAACAAATATTATACGAATCGCACCTGTGTCGATCGTGTACTCGATCGCGTTGCACATGTGCCATTAACTATACTAACCGTCTCGCTGTAATTCGATGCGTCTTGACGCACTTACGGGATTTCTGGTTTAGTAATCTTGACACACTCGCCGGTACGTTTTTTCCCCTCGATGATTTCATGCATCCAATTTCTAGAAAACGGTGCACTAATCTGCAAATTAATATTACAGATTAGGTCTCGTTTGTGAATATTTCTAAACCGTGGTTGGAATGAGTAGGCTAAGGGAATATCAAGAGATATTCCCCCGGAACAATTTCGATTGTCACTACAGTCTTATCGATATTAAATCTATGTACTTTTTGTGCAACGCATAAAACGCGGACTACTGTTTCACGTCGTTAATGCTTCGTACAGCATCGTTAAAAAAATAACGTGAATGCATTTACAGCGGTTATCTAAGCGTAATAAACTGGTTCATTACGGTCAGTTTTATATGTTTCCATCTATGTAATCGACTATAATACTTGGTATAATGGTGTTTGCTCTGTTAATTACGCGGCTATTAGCATATTCTTTCCGACCAATGGGGCTTCGCTGTGTGACGTGCGAATTTCTTCGTTACTATTTTCAGTGAAGATGCCGAACTTTCTAATTCATTTGCTAAACTTTCCTCTTACGACTGATTTGAATGAAAGATCACGAGGCACGCGGCGTGAAAAATTCTTTTGCTGCAGGCTTGTCCGAACGCATTCACGAGATCATATCTTTATTAAACGGGGGTCTAATGAAAGATAAATACTTGAATGGTTGGACAAAAAAGTGTCCTTGAACGTTTGCCATTTGTCGATTGCATATTCAATGCGCGTATATTATTTTTGGGACTATCATCATCTCGGATTTTTTATGAATCTAAATTTAACACGTGCAATATTAATTTCGCTGAATAAAATAGCCTTTTATATATTATTTTTATATATTATTTTTGGGGACTATCATCATCTCAGTTTTTTCATGAATCTAAATTTAACACGTGCAATATTAATTTTATTAAATAGAATGGCCTTCTGTATACTGTTTACCTTCATCACCGGTACAGTACTATTTTGATCAAGCTGCTATGTAATGGTTTTCAAACAAAACAAACATCGAATGAATGCTATAATTGTTCGTTTACTCGCGTGACGGAATTCTCAATTAATTGCCAACTAACCTTCGATGATGGATTGTTTTGCCTAAGCGGTACCGCATTCTGTGTGCGTACTCGCATAGTACTATCGAAACGAAGTGAACGTCGCTATACGATTATTCTAAGCAGAAAAATCGATTACCTGTGATTTAATCCGTGTAGAATACGTTATGCGCCTCTCGTTTCACGTAAAATGTGGAAATTATGGCGTTGTCAAGAATGGGAGCATGAAGTATTTATACGCTATCGATTTTACACTTCAGTTCAGCTATGTTTAATAGCGAGCTCATCTATGATACCATACAAAGTACATTATTTATAAATCTCGCGATAGATGTTCCATAATGTCTGAGCTGTACTTCAATGGCACAAATAAAAGCAACACAAAAGATTTATGTGTGTGTTCGATTGATTTTTAAATTATTCTTCACACACACGCACGCACGCAGGTACAGCAATACTTCCTTTTGAACGACATAATCAAATATCCGCTTTGCAATATTAAGCTCGAGTGGATAGGTTTTTAACGAATTAAGAGCAATTCGTGTTGATTAACCTCAAAGCATTTATTCAACATTCAACGTTTTCAATCACAACAAGGGTTCTCTTGGGAACATTATAAATAAAACCAAGACATGGTGAAATAATTTAAAAACTTTAAGATGAGTATATAAAATAGTTTCTTATAGTAACGAATGCTGTTATTACACAAACGCCGCGTTACATGATTTTTAAAATTAATCAATACGAATCCTTTCCATTCGTCGACGATCATTTCACTACCTCGAGTTTATTTGGAACGAATTAACTGTCCGAGTGAAGTGCCTCTGGCTCGATCGCAAAAAAAGTCATTCCTAAATGGATCTGCGTCGATTCATTCCCGAACATCTCAGTTCCGTTTCCTCTGCACCGAATCCACGAAGCAGGCGACAATGACGGATCGTTCCCGATACCGTGAATAATTTATTTCACGTCGTTGATGTGCAATGAAACGCGTCACGGAGTCGTGGGCGCGAAAAGAAACTAACGCAGCTAAAGCGTCACAGGAGGAACGAGTTGTAGGTGTGTCGCGAATATAGCTGCCCGATACACGCCTCTGTGTCATTGCGGGCATGCATATTAAGGGGGTGAACAAAAAAAAAAGTAAACCGGTCTTGAAAAACCGTAACCTCTAACAACCGTACCGCCTGTGTTCTTAATGAATTTTTAAAAGGACACTCCGAAGCCGAGGACTCCCATTATCCGCTTCTTTTTCGCCCATCCTCATCAAAAGGATTCATAAAATTTTGTATAAAGGGAATAACGTCGACGATGCATTAAAACTTGAACACCTGTATGTCTTCTCGCGTATGCACCTCGGGGCTGACGTCGTAAGATTATCGCGAAATTTATGAAGCCTTCGTTAAAAAAAAAAAAAAAAAAAACAACATGGCCGTGAATAAATGGTATTTACTCTGCGTTTCTTTTTATCGCGAAGGTGGGACACTCGCGATATAATATGCAACGAAGATCGTAGGACGCGGAAAAGGTCAATGATGAACCTTCTTATGTAAATAAACGAAGACCAATTCGGGAGACTTATTAGACGATAAGCACATCTGCGTTTGTTGAACGTAAGATCAACAGGTAATTACATATTCTTCCATTTTGTCTGTCGTAAAAAGAAAATGATTTCTGCGGTAGTACATGTGCATCACTACTCGTTTTACGTCCGCCATTTACATGGATTTACATGGTACGGATTGTATATCAGACTCGTGTCCTTTTTTTGAGAGATATCTCATATTTTTGACAAAAAAGAGTAGCCAACAAAACTGTTCTCATAACTCACGGCTGTAACAATATACGGTTTTTATTTCACCGTTGGAGGACTCTCTTGTTTCATCCTCCTTTCTTTCCATAACATGCACATCTATGTGCAAATCAACTCGTATTTTGTCTGACGTCATTTTTCATACAGTAATATCGCGTATTTTGTATTGCTATGTCGCGGTATCACTATGTTGTGCATTTTATACACTTATGACATATGTTAAAATGAAATACCCCTGGGGATGGGCGCATACAACGTGACTGTGTACGTAAATTATGTTCAGTGATCGTATTGATACATGATAATTAATTTTCCATCTTATTTTATTCTACGAACAGGTAATTAATTGCACTTGTCTCGTGGGTACACATTTCAACCAATCGATAGCTCTCAACGTTTGTTGATCTCGAGATACGAACAGTCGCGTCACCGTATGCAAAAATTGCACAACAGTTAGATCGTTACTGTTCTCACTTCGTTCTCAGCGATTTCTTCCTATCGTTCTGGTGTATCGACACATCTCTGTTACAGTGTATCGACTATTGCATGTTCAAGGCTGCGGCAACCTTGGCTCGGGTTTTCTTGGA